TTAGCGAATTCTTGACCGTTTCCCAGCTGGAAGCCAGCGATAGGATAAAGTACGCGCTTCGGCTAGCGCTCCGGCTGCTTGCGGCAGAGACCCAGCTCAGCAGGCATCCTCCTCCTCGGATGCTCTTCTGTGTATATGCCACCATATATATATATATACACACACATATATGTATGCGTATGTATAGCGTGTGTGTGTATGGCACCATATATATGTGTGTGTGTATATATGTGTGTGCATTGTGTACAGCACCATAAAATATATATATATAAAAAAAAATGTGGTAGCTGTGCCAGAGATGTGTGCACATGTGGGGTGGGGGGGTGGTAGATGCATATATCTGTAGGTGTATGCAAACAACATTGCGTTTAACTACGGGCAGTTTGACAGACAGGAGAAATCAGGCTGGGTTTTCAGCGCTTAAAAGAAAGGAGCAGAAATTAAACGCGTCGCTCTCCCTCCCAGAAGGGGAACTCGGCTCCTTTCCCCTTCCTTTCACTTTGTTTTCGCTTTCCGAAAAGCGGTTCGATCCCCACCTCCCGTTTGGGTGAAAAAATCTCTCGCAGGACAACTCCTCCCCGCTCAGGAAGCCAAGGCTGCTCGTTGTCAGTCCCGGGCGGCAGCGGTCTCCGCTCTGCGGGAAGAAACCCCTTTCCTGCAGTGCAGGGGCACGCATGGAGCGATGCACAGCATCACTCGCGTTTCCAGCCCCAGAAGGCCAGCACAGGTTTCGGCCACGCTCAGGCCTTCTGCAGCTGCAAACTTGTTGCTTACAGAGCGAACTTGCTTATTTGCAGATACGAATTTGTCATGTAAACAACAACAACAAAATGACAAGAACGGCGCTAAGGGCACAGCTGAAAGCCTGCCTTTAAGATCTGACCCATTTGGACCATAGCTCCTATTTGCATCCACTGAGTCTCCGAGCCTTAATTCAAGGGGTCCATAAAGAGACTTGTTTTGCTGGAAAAAAAGTGATCTTTGGTTGAAACCTGGTTTTCCATCATATTCAGTTGGACCTATTAGGCCAGGTTTTCCCACAGCAGAGCTATTGTCAGCAAAAATGGGTTCACTCTTTGGGCTGTTCCACTAGTGGGTAGGATGTGTAATCCTCTTTCTCTTTTTTTTTTTTTCTCTTCATTTTTCATCTCTGGGTTGGCTGCGTTGTAATGTATCAGTTTAATCAGAGACTTGCTGCTGGTTGAAGCTGAACCGGGAAGATGGCAGAGCCCGAAAGCACCGTTCTGAACACCGATGTGAAGCAGGTCGGTTTGCCACTAAAGGCAGATTCAGTATTTCCCAAGCTTAACCTCAATATGTTTTGCAATGTCACCCTCGGAGATGACAACCACAGCATGATGTCGCAGCGGCCCAAATTGCTCGTGTCTACACAGCTGGAGCCCTCAAATGCAGAGGCTGTGGCCGAAGCAGCCTGTCTGAGGGCCGCGGGGTAGCTCTAGGTCCCATGGAGGTCCATGGTTTCCAAACGGGAACAGGCTGCACGACTGAGGCTTTAAAATTGCTGGTGAGTGCAGCATGCAGGGCGGCTCAGCCATGCCCAGCTCAGCACAGGGAGGTGATTGAGGCCATGCCATGCCCCAACCTGCCCAAACAACGGAGCAATCCCCTCCACGTGAACCGTCCTTGGCATGCGTCACGCTTACCCAACAGGTTGGGCTGTCACATCCATCCACCCCCGGCCTTGGTGGCCCGAACGTCACTCCTGGCACATGTCCCCTGTAGCTGTCGCAGGCATCAGCAGAGCCGGAAATTAAGGGGCAGGTGTGATACCTCCAACGCTTGCCCCAGCGTCCTTGGCCATCCCCAGCCACCTCCTTCTCTGCCACCCAACCGCTATTTCCTCCTGACTCCACAGAAAGACCCCAGAGAGGCGCTGGTCATCGCGGTGACAACCAGGGCCATCTTCGACCTGGAGGAGGAGCATGCACTCTTCCTGGCCAAGGGCAAGGACGAATACGTGAGGCACCAGCAGGCCAACCAGGACAAGCCCCTGCCACCAGGCACGGCCTTCACCTTCATCCAGGTGAGCCCCCAGCCCGGCCGGGGCCATGTGCAAACCCTGCTCAGCGCCTTTTCTGAGCTTTCCAGCCTTCCCCTCTGGCGAGGAGAGCTGCCCCATCAACGCCTCGCTTGGAGCACGGGCTGAAAGCCCATTTCCCTCCTTGCCTCCAGCTCCGTGCTGACCTTATTGAGCCACTCCTGGCTTTCGGCCTCATTATTGCCATCCTGGGGTGGGGATACAAGTGTCCTTGCCCACTGAGGCTCTGGCAGCGGCGTCCTACTCCCTGCCCTCCTGGGTCTGGTTTTTGCAGGATGCCCATGCTGCCCAGCTCCCTGTAGCAAGCTCAACACTGTGAAATGACAGTCGTGGAGCAACGTCCTTGCTGTGCTTGGCCTCCAGCCCTAGCCACCAACTGCTCGCTCACAAATCAGAGCCTGGGCAAAGTCATCACCGGCGCTGAGCCAGTGTGAGCAACTGCTGAAAGCGTTTGGTGCCAGTATCGGCTTCTTGCAGGCGGTGCAGTACGTGAACGAGCAACTCCTGGCGAGTGACCCAGCGGAGCGGGACCTCTTCGATGTCATCGTGCTCTCCAACAACAGCCCTGAGAGTGGCACGCGCATCATCAACAGCGCCAAGCACTACGGTACGGGGAGCCCGGCGCTGCCGCGTGGCCACCACTCCTTCGGGGCGCTGCAAAACAGATGCAGCAAGAAAGGGAAGCATCAGCGGGAAATGCAGACTCAGGGCCAGGAGCCACTCAGCCACTGAGGAGGGGGGATATTATAAGGGGAAGGGGTTATTTTGGCAGCAGAAGGCCACTGCTGGCTCCAAGCAGCTTTCCCGGGGTGTCAGAGCATATTGCAAGGGCCACAGGGGAGTCGAAGTCTCCCCTCTGCCTTATCCGTTGCACGAGTCCTTACACCAGTGGGACCTGGCAGCATTTTGCGCAGCCTCTGCATCCTAAGGCAGCCACTCAAGACACCAGGGCTATAGAAAAATCCCAGGGTGGCTTTCGGAAAGGCTCCTACAGGAGCAATGGGGCAAGAAAACGCAGCAGGAACAGCAACAATTTCCCTGCCTGGCTTTAGGGAAGGTCACTAGATACTAACAATTTCTGCTGTTTTGGGCAGCCCCTACCATGACCCCCAACACTCAGTGTGGCCCAGGGACAGGACTGTCACCTCCTTTACGGGGAAGGGGATGTATCCCAGCTTCAGAGCTGCCACATGCTAATGTCTGGGGTGGGGAAGAGGGGGCCGCGAGGCAGAGGATGCCATCCCGTAACAGATTTTCTCCTCCCCGCCCCACTCCCAACCTGAAGGCTTGGAGATCTCCAAGTTCTGCTTCGTCAGCGATGAGGACTCCACGCAGTACCTGAAATCCCACCAGGTGAAGCTCTTCCTCTCAGCCGACAGGACAGATGTTTGCAACGCCCTCCGCAGAGGTGCCTTTTCCCCTCTGTCCTGCGCGATCCTCTGGCCCCACAGTGGGTTGTCCTCACACCATGCCTGGGTCACCCGGCCCCAAACCCAGCCCTGACATGCTTGGCTTGAGTTGGAGAGCGTATGGTCTCCTCAACAGCTCTAATGAGGTTAATCTCATTAATGTGGCTGATTTGCTGGGGTATTGAGCACAGCAGCTGGCCAAGCTCCTTTAAGTTAGTAACAAATCAACTACAGCCTGAGTTGGGGGGGGGGGGGGAGGGGGGGGAAGGAAGGAGGAGGCGTTCCTTAGCTACAAAGGAAATTTCTAAAATCTCCCTGGAGAACATTGTTGCTCTAACAAATGTGTCACCTGGGGTCTTCAGTCTGCAGATGAGATAGGAAGCAGCTCGTAGGAAGGGAGCTGTAATTAAGCCAATTATACCAATCTGGTGGAGGTGCCGGTCCCTATTACTCACAGCACGATGTGGTAAGTCTGGGTATTAAACCTGGGCTTGGCAGAATGAGTGCGTGCCAGGAGGAGGGTGGCCTGTGCCTGCCGTATATGCAGGCACCTGGGGTCTCCTAGTAGCCCTCACTCTCTCTCCAGACAGCCTTTGGCCAACAGCTGCTTCCTTGACCCCCAAATAATGTAGCCCCAGAAAGGCTGGGCTGACCGCCACAAAAACCAA